AGAGAGAGAGAGAGAGAGAGAGAGAGAGAGAGAGAGAGAGAGAGAGAGAGAGAGAGAGAGAGACAAGATTGTTGTGCGGACCAAGAGAGAAAGCCGCCATAACCGCGGGGCTCGGGCACAGAGTTATTAAGAAGAAGAAGGAGAAGCGAAGGAGAAGGGTGGAGAGACGAAGGAGAAGAAGTCATAGATAGAGAGGAGGAAGAAGGGACAACGAAAGTGAAGAAAGCCATAGCCGGGGTGAAGCAAGGAAGAAAGAGAAAGGAAGGAGGGAGAAGGATGATAAGGACGGTTGGTGAGGAAGAAAGGGATCGGCAGCCATAGCCGAATCGAGGGTTGACCAAGGCATTGACCGAAGGGTTGACCAACGTTGACCAAGACTTTGACCAAAGAGTTGACCGGCAGGTTGACTGGCGTTGACCAAGGCATTGACCGACGAGTTGACCAAGCGTTGACCAGTGTTGACCGGGGCTGCTGACCACGAAATTGACCAAGGTGGAGTTGGTATATTCTCGCCAAGCCTTCAGCCTACCCCCTCGCCCTATGGATGTGCACTCACCCCATGGTACTTGCTGAGTCTGTCTGTCTCTTCTTTCTGCATCGAGTCTCTTATGTCCAGGTGATAGGAACTCTGTGTATGTGGTCATAGAGCTTTGTTGACCAAACCCACACGGGCTGAGTAGGGCTCAAGGCCGTGTCTGATGACTTGACTGACCCGGAGGACACAAACCCTCCCGAGGACCAGTACTGACCGGCGGGCTGCACAGTGTGGCACGGTGAGTTGTGGGCTGCACAACGAGCTGTCTAAGTCTTGAGAGGACTTGCTGATCGCGTCGTCCTGTTTGCGACCTTAAATGATTCCTGAGGAGTTACGGGGAATCTCCTTAAATGCCTCCTGATCAGCAGTAAGTCCTGTGGTGACAACCTTAGTTTTAGGTCTAGGCTAGAGACCCTAGTTGACAGGATCTTACCAGTCCGTCCTAAGTTAAGTCAGTCAGGGGTGTGAGTCTAAGTGGTGAGGAGTGGAACTGGTTCTTGGTTGTGCACCTTCCACCATGGTTGACACGCGTAGTGGCAAGAGCATCACCCCCTAGACCAAGGCTCAGGAAGAGCAAGCCGTCGTTGTACTCAAAGAGAGAAAGAGAGAAGGAGGCCAAGAAAGAGTTGATTAGACAGGCCAAGAAGTTGGCCTTGCAGGAGCAGGCGGCGAAAAAGAAGAAGTTGGAAGAGGAAATGGAGAGATTGAAAAGAGAGGAGGAAGAGAAAATGAAAGCGGTAGATGAGGAAGAGATTGAGGGGGAAGAAGAAGAAGAGGAGGTTCCCCTAATCAGAAGAGGCGATAGAGGGGAACCCAGCGGCACAAAGGAGGAATCGTGGTTGGAGAAAAAAGTTTCCGAGTGGGTAGCAAATTTGTCTTTGGGAGAAGAAGAAGAAGCCATGTTATATGTTCCCCCGGAGGAGAAGGAAGCAGGAGGCAGAAAAAGACCCCTTGAGACGCTAGATTATAGAGGAGGAGAAGAAGTTACAGTGGAAGTTGCGTCTCACCAGGGAGAAGAAGAGGAGGATGGACGAGGCGAGCAAAATGCCGAGGGAGTTGGAGGTGATAAAGGCACAAAGGGAGGAGATTCAGGCGCAAGCAGACATACAGGGAAAATTAGATGTTATCTCGAGAAACATAGAACTCCTAGCTAGGGCCTGGGACGGGCAACATCAGTTTGCTAGAGCCCAGGATATCGCGTTACACTCCATTCGCCTGGAATTCAGGGATTTTGCACGTGAGATGATGTTGCACGTAGGTGCAGAGATGCAGGCGAGGATAGAGGGCATGGAGAAATTTTGCACAAACGCCATTGAGGGCGCAAAGTTGGCCACTCCTAAGGAGGAGGAGGTACGCCCCCGTAGAGAGCCCGTGAAGATCAAATTTCCTGAACCCTATAGTGGGAAGAAGGAAGAAAATTTTGAATAATTGGGAGGCGAATGTGAATACATACGTGTATTTGCAGAAGATCGTTGCTGAGGAACAAGTCCTCATTGCATTTCAGGCCCTCAAAGACGAAGCAGCCAGTTTCGCCAGATCACTCGCTCGCACTACACAGTGCGAAAATAATATGGTAGCCTATTCTAAGGTAACCCCTCTCCCTAAATTCTTTAGACTAGTAAAGGGGAAATTTGCAGATGTCATGCGAGGCGTCAGGGCCTCTGACAAACTGGAAACTATCCACTCACGCCAATGGAGGAGTGCAATCGCACTCAAAGGAGTTATGGACGAGCTAGTGGCCGTCCCAGACCACGGGGTCACTGAGGCCCAGTTGGTCAACCTCTCCTAGCGTGCCATGCCAGAGCCCCTACGGGTACACTTCTTCAAAAAGAGCCGACAGCCCACCATGACATATGATATGCTGAGTAGAGAGGTGGTGTTGTTTGAGGCACAGTCCATGCCAGTTTCGACTTTCTGGCATAAGGACTTAGACGAGGGGAAAAAGTGGAAAGGCCGTACCATCTCTGGTCAAGTTAGGGCCAAGGATCACCTAATCCTCACTTTAGATGAAGGTGGTATGGGCGAGGTCCCATACAGTCAGATTGAGTGGGGCCTGAGGGAGGAGGACAGTAGTGGGGGTCAGGGGAGGACCTACGCTGCTGTCGCGGCTGGAAGGAGGCCGCAAGGAACAGGAGGAGGCCAGGGCCAAGGGGGTCGGGCCTCAGGTGGCCGAGGACAGGGCGCTCAGGGGGTTGGCGGCAGAGAAAACCGCCAAGAGGGAGGTAGGGGTCAAGGTCCCCCGCCAAATCGCTTGCGATCTTATCGGTCACCTCCAAGAAGAGTTGGATG